TTTCCTTTTTTTTTTTAAGGCAGTTTCCTTTTGTAGATGGTAAAACCAAAACACAAAAAGGGAGAGAATTGCCTCAGCTCAGATACTGTTTTAACACCATAACACAAACAAGATTGTCAAAATTAAACATAAAACCAACTATTAATCTGTCTTGTCATTTAGCTAGCTCTTACTGGTGACAGTATTTTCCCCTTTGCTTCTTTAGTGTATTTCTGCAAAATTTATCGGGTGATCATCCCCTTCCCATAAAAGAAAGACCTTATATGAAGTAGAACAGGAAAAGATTGAATGCCATGTTGTGGGGGCTGCAGAACACATTTCATTGTGCATGTGTCTTTGTTCAAAGTATAGATTTTGCAGATGTTAATCTCATCCTTCAGCATTCCTTATTTCTATGCCGGAACTTCTCCGGCCGAGCAGTCACCAGTTTGGTCCTGATGTCGCCCACTGTTGCTTTGTAGATCCCCGTGCCAGCCACTCCAGAGGAAGCAAAGCATGAAGCCAGGTACACAGGCTGTGTACTGCTTAGGACATTGCTCGTGTATACCAGTTGGTCAAGGAAAGAAAAATCATGAATAGTATTTACCAAATTATTTCCTCTATTTCCCCTCCCCCTTGATGTCTCAGGCACCAGATACTCTTTTGTTACTTTATCCTTCTCTTCCTTTCTGTTTCTATGCCCCTGCTTAGCCCAGACATTCATCCATTCACACCTCGATTACTGAAATGATGCCCTGAGAGATTACCCTGAGGATTCCCCTGCCTCCAAAAATCATACACGAGTTGTCGTCATTGTTTTAATAATACCCTTCATTCACACAACTCCTCCCACTCCACCTCTCTACTCAGTTACCCTTGATGGCTCCCTAAAATTAAACCAAAAAAAAAAAAGAAAGAGAGAGAAAGAAAGAAAAAAATCCTAGGCTTGAATTTAAAAGTTCTCTTGATCTACCTCCTACTTACTTCTCCATTTTCTCTTTCAGTATATCCCTACAAGAAGTCTGTACTGCAGCTAAGCTTATCAGTCATTGTTCTACAATTGGATCAACCCATCCTTCTAAGTCCCTGGAGTGGCTTCCTCCTTCTCTGCTTTTCTAAGCCCTACTCTTCCTCAAATGCCCAGCTGGAGTTTCAGCTCTTCCTCCAAGGCTCACCCCTCTGAATTCCTGCCCCAGCCTTCTGCCGTGCTGCACAGACTCAGCCGACTCACGGTTAGCATGCAGCTCAAACTTAAACTGTCCAAAATGCTACTCTTCGTGCACTTCCCTGCCACCACCAGTTCCTTTTCATCCTCTTCTAGCTCAGAAGGTGGCAACACCATCCATATTT